CCTGGCCTTGGTATGACTCCAGCTTCTGTATCTATAAAACTCTTCTACAGCTTGTTGTCCTGACAACATACCTGTTATAGTCTTTCAGAAGTGTTCTACAGAGCTTTCATCTATACTTTCATAACAAATGCTTATCAGAGTTTTGTTTTCCAGCCTGCCGGAAAGTGGCATCTGTTATCCCTATTTTCAAAATATTTGGAGAGCGATCTGACTCTTCTAACTACCAACCCATTAGTCTTCTTATTAACATAAGCAAGTTTTTTGAGTCTTTAATTAACAAACACTTAATCTCTCATTTTGAATCTAATAACTTACTTTCTGATCATCATATGGATTTCAATCTTCTCTTTTTACTGTTGATTTGTTAACAGTAATTACAAATAGGTTTTATTGTGCATTAGATTAATGTGGAGAGGCTAAGGGAGTCACTCTTGACATTTCTTAAGCTTTTGATAAAGTTTTGCATGCTTGTTTTCTCCATAAGCTCTCTTCTTATGGTGTACCAGCTAACATCTTTAAGATTATTAAATCTTTCCTTACCAATCTTAGTATAAAAGTTGTTCTCGATGGACAGCACTCTTCTTCATATTCTGTATTTTCAGAGGTTTCTCAAGGTTTTATCCTAGGCCCTATACTCTTTTTTAATTTACATTAACAATTTCTTAGAAGTTTTCACGTCTTAGAAGTTTGCCATTTTCCCCTGATGATAGTACTATTTATTCTTGTCTTGATAAGAAGCCAGCACTCTCTGATTTTCTTGATAAGAAGCCAACACTCTCTTTTTTACTCAGGACTCTATTCTTTATCTCTATAAATCAGTAACATCCAACTCTAATAGTTGTTGCTTGTAGCCTTGTTTGTAGTTGCTTGTAGCCTTGTTTGTAGTTGCTTGTAGCCTTGTTTGTAGTTGCTTGTAGCCTTGTTTGTAGTTGCTTGTAGCCTTGTTTGTAGTTGCTTGTAGCCTTGTTTGTAGTTGCTTGTAGCCTTGTTTGAAGTGAAGATTTAAGATGTTTAAGATACTTAAACATATTAAGATGTTTAGAGTTTGCTTGAATTGTTTAAAATACAAACAAGCAGTTTAGTTAAGTCTTTGTTTTAATTTGAGTTATTAATTATTGTTCTTTTTTTTTTGTTAACCATTTGAATCAGTTTGTAATTAATTTTCTAAAGACCCTTAGCTGCAGCTGTCATTAAAATTTTTTATTTGTTTTTAAATATAGATATTATAATGCTATATTAAAAAAAACACCATGTTTTCACTCACCATCATCATGCAGGCTAGGCAGTAGTTTATATAGACATTATCATCTACATAAATTGCTGCAATAAACAGTGAGATGTTTTTTATAGTTGGCTTTCCTGTCTACAGGTCTAATTCTATGTTTCTGTTCACATTTTGTTGAATTTTCATCAAAAAGGAACTTTACTGCAGAGATATTTTCACGCTGAAGACCATATGCATGAGATAAAGCATCATATGCAAGACATGTTCGTCCTTGATTCCCTAAAAACATGGTTGCAAATTTTTTTAGGAGCTTTTTTTTGCATGGTTAGGTTTTCGGATTACTGGTCAAATCTAGAAGAATAAATATTTTAATTAAAGATATGTATGAAGTTTTAAACTACATACAAAATGAGAGTTCAGCTTTTAAATAAAACAAAATAATAAATAAATATTTACTTTAAAAATTGAAAAAATTAAAAGTTATTAATAAATTGTTAAAATTATTTAATGTTTTTTGGAAAACAAAAATAGTTATATAAATATAAAATGTTTGTTAAATATTAGCTATTTTATTAATATATATTTGTCATCAAAAAAAGAATACAATGGCGTGTTATATAAATAAAATCTACATGATCGGGGCTAAAAGAAGACAATGTTTGCCTTATCACTACGCCCCGAAAAGCTAAATCCAGATAATTCTTTGGTACAGCACTTTTTTGTTCTAGAATTTGATCTTTGGTTTATTGTTGATTGAGATTGGGTAATATCTTCCATCAAGTTAGAAAAGTGTATACTATTACATTCTTTGGAAACTTGTTTGGATTCATTTAGAGATAGCAGAAAATAATTTAATTGTAAAATAATTTTTTTTGAATGGAAAAAATAATGCTTGAATCTTAGGTAAAGTAAGGTTGCAAAGGAATAGTGCTTAGTTAGTTCCATACTATGGAAACTGCTTTATTTTAATCATGTAATCATCTTCAATTAGAGTTTCAAGCAATTTTATTATAATTGTCAAATGCACTGATGCAAGAATCACTTCCAGAAAGCAGTTTAGGGGCTTCTATAAAAATAAGCAAAATTTTGACCACTTTAAAAAAAAAAAAAAATCTAGTCTATTTCTGTAAAAAAAAAAAATGGCAGAGTATTATAGCAACAATAGTAGGTTTAAAAAACTAATTTTTTTGCAGCAAGGTTTTCATCTCATTGTAAGTCAAACATATTTTTATAATATTTTTTGCTTGTAATTTAATAAGTTGGAACAATTAAGGTGTGGTGTTGCAAAAAATTAACTTCATTGACTGCTGAGCATGTTTGCTTTATTAGTCAAACATGCTTTTGTAATATTTTTCACTTGTAATATCATAAGTTGGAGCAATCAGGATGTGGTGTTGCAAAAAGTTAGCTTCATTGAGTGCTGACCATGATTGCATGTCAAGAATAATTATTTCAAAGGTGGACAAATTTTTGTCTTTTCAGCGAGTTCAATTTAATTTTTGTGCTGGTTTCAGTTGGTTGAAAGATTGCTCCTTCTCAGACCTATGCTTCTCAGGAACGTGGGCAATCACTTCTCAGAGCAGTGTTTCTCAGGAACGTGGGCAATCACTTCTCAGAGCAGTGTTTCTCAGGAATGTGGGCAATCACTTCTCAGAGCAGTGTTTCTCAGGAATGTGGGCAATCACTTCTCAGAGCAGTGTTTCTCAGGAACGTGATCACAGGCCATTATATGACCAGGTAAATAAGATTTTGCTTTGACAATTTAATAACAGGTATTTAAAAAAAATATTTCAAAAAAGCGCTGAATGAAAAAGATTCAGAATTATACCTTTTATATTAGCAAAACATTTTTAAATTTACTGATTTTGATTTTTGTTGAAAGTAACAATTTAACTTTTAAAGTAACAATTTACTGATAATCATTTTTGTTGAAAGTATCATTGACACATAGTTTTTTAAATTTATATTATATAAATTGTTTATATATGCATTTTTTATAATAAATCTTATTAAAAAAATATAAAAATTATTTTGATTTTATAAACAATGACTTTCTTAGTTCAACAAAAGTCAAATTTTATATAAGAATTAAGAGTTAATACATTTGAAAAGATAAAAAATTTTTTGTTGCAAATAAAAGACAAATGTTTTCATTACAATTAAATATGTTTTTGCAAGCCGTTACAATTAAATATGTTTGAACTTTAATGCTTTTATATTATTGAAATGCTTTTTAATGAAGTAACAAAGCACTTTTAATGAGTTTTTATATAAAGTATTAATGAACTGTTTTTTTTATTTATATAATTATTTTTTATGATAAACGTTACTCTTAAAATAAATTAAAAAAAAAATAAAAAAAACAAAGTACATATGTTAAAACAAAGTATGAAATGGTTTTTTAATGCATAATTTTTTCTAGCGTGTATTTTTAAATTAGTAAATAAAAACACTCTAAATTAAATTAAGTGTCAGTATTTTTTAAACTATTAAAAGTAAATTGTTTATTTTTTTAATTTAAGGTTTCGCATAATATTATATAAACATTAATAAAGATAAAAGATTAAAAGTTTATTATTCAAAATGTAATTAATAACATGATTTATATAAACTTAGCATTTTAGTTAAGTTTTATGTTAGTTGAGTTTTTATTTTTTTATTTTTTTTTTATTTTTTGAGTTTTAGCTGTAATTAAGTTTTTTTAATTTTTTCTTTTGTTAAAATTTTTTTTTTTTTATAAAATTAAGTTTTTTTTAGATAAGTTTAGGTAAGTTTTTTTAGCGCATTTTTAAATTTTGAAAATGTGTTAAAAAGTCATAGTCAAATTGTCAAAGTGTCAATATAATTATATAAATGCGTGGTCAATGATGAACGCATTTTGACAGTTCTTTTTTTTCTACTTTTTTTTTTGTTTTATTTGGAGAAGCAGAAGCAGGGCTGGTGTTGGTAATGGTGAGTTTTGAGATTAGACAAAAGACTACTGGGGGTCTGGTACATAGGATCATCAAATCTGTAAGATTTCTGTTGCAAATATTGAAGTACTTGGGGTCACTAATAGAGATTGTAAAATGCTTCCAAAACCAACTTTTTTGGCGACTTCTTTTAATCTTAAATAAAAATAAATTAATAATTATAAATAGATTATAAGAACAATAAAATTACTCATAGAAAAATCTATTAAAATAACAAAAAACTTACATCCATAAAATATTATACTTGCTCACTTTGTATTCAACTATTTAAACCTAATTTGTTTTCTTTAAGATGTTTTCTTTAAGATGTTTCCTTACCAGATGTGCATGATTCAAAGTATTATGTTTACTGCAGTAATTTGATTATTTGAGTTTTGAGATATTTTTAAAAAGTAGATGGGTACACACTATTTACTATGTAAAAAATTAAATAATTGGTGAACCATAGGCTTAAAATTTCATTTAAAAATGGTAAAACATTTTCTGAAAATTGCCAAAAAAAAAACTATTTTTCTAAATTAAATAAAAATATAGTCATACTATTGAAATTTTGGTTTTTGGTTTTTTCAACCAAAATTTTGTTTCTTACTAAATTTATATATACTTTATTTATTTATTTATAAAAAGTTTTAACAAATACCTAAAATTTCAGTTCTATATTGGTTCAAAGTTCATCCAAAATTGAAACAGAATTTCTGTCTATCTCTATGAACCAAAATTTTATTATACAATGTATTTTTTGGTTTTATTTATGTTTAGAACTTATTTAGTATATGTTTAAAGTTTATATTATATTTGTTTAGAGAAGGTCGTCCAAATTGCCCAATTGACAACTATTCAATAAATGAAGAACAGGTTTGTTTTACTTTTTGTTATTTATTGCTGTTTAATGAAGAACAGGTTTGTTTTACTTTTTGTTATTTATTGCTATGTTTAATGAAAAACTGGTTTGTTTTATTTTTTGTTATTTATTGCTTAAGTGTTATAGTATTTTATTTGTGACCTTGTGACCTCATCATGTGTAAAAGTTTTATTTTTATAACTTCATCTTATTAAAATTATTCTTTGTTAGACTATGTAATAAAAAGTTATTTAATAGTAAATAAATATTGTTTATTAATTTAACACAATTTTACTGCTCTCACCATCAACGATTCTTTTCAGAATTGACCTGTAGTCAATTTGAACACTTTAATAAGTTTAGTAACAAGTTGAAATAAGTACAGTAAAATCCCGATAGCTTGAACCACCAGTAACTGGAAGTACTTTTGAGTTCACCTTGTACAATCACTAATACTTTCTCATAAAAACCACTCGATAACTTGAACCCCTATTAGTTCAAACATTCACTTGGTTGTCCATATTATTTGTTCCCATGAATTAAAGAAGAAAAATTACGTTGCAGATACGGAAATCAAAATAAAAGCTGGATGGATAGCGTACTGTTTAAAGAGTGGATACAGGAAATGAATTCAAAGTTTACAAAAGAAAAGAAGAAAGTAGCATTTATAATAGATAACTACCTAGCACACCCAATTATAACTAATTAAACTAATGAGCTCATTTTTTACCACCAAATACTACTAAACTTCAACCAACGGTCTTTAAAATTTTATTACAGATCTTTGCATTGCAATAACTGGCTTTTAATAAAAGAAAAGATCTTCCTATTTTTTCAATTTTAGATACAACAAAAATGATCACGGGCAAAAAATTAAAACTTTCACCATCATTATTTATTTGCAAAAGCAGAAATTTTGGAGATCAACTTCTGTTGATCTCCAAAATTATTGCTTTTGCAAATGAATAATGGTAGTGAAGGTTTTTATTTTTTGCCCGTTCGGATGAAGCTGATGATTGCCCGTTCAGATAAAGCTGATGATCCCTTCAAAGAGCTTTAAAATTAGATAGAAAAAGCTAATTTTTACCCTCCAGATACAACAGCTGAAAATTTCATTTCTGCAGATAAAAACTTAATGAGCACATAGCCTTTAATTGCAGATGAACAGTTGATAGAAGTTAAAAAATCAGCTAATGAACATAATACTGATGACAAGGAAGATAATGATGATGGTAATGCGATGGATCCAGTTTGCCGAAAATTAGTGATATTCAGAAGACACTGCAAGTGTTGTATGAATATATACCCTTGGTGAAAATTTTCAACAAAAGCTCAGTTTGAAAAAAAAGTTTGCATTCAATGCATTTTCAATTATATTCGATAGAGATGTTGGATTTATGTATTGTTTTTACCTTTGAGATTAAAACTTTTTTTTTAAAACTCTTATTGTTTATACTCATAATTGTAACTTATAAAATTGTTTTCTTCAAAAGTTTGTGTTATAGAATATCTCAATAACTTCAACATTCACTAATTCAAATTATTTTCTCGGTCACTTGAAGGTTAGAGATATAGGGAGTACATAGGGAGATATTGGGAGATATAGGGAGTACACTTAAATATTGAAACAAAGCTATAATTAAATTATTTAAAATAAAGCTTTTATCCTACAAGTAAAAAATATGTAGATTTATAATTTAAATAAATATAATCCAAAACAATGGATAATTATTTTTATATATTTTATACAATATTAACTTTTGCAGATATACCCTGATAATTTCGCTTTACGAGAAATACTTGAGCTCAAAGTACGATGCCAAAATAGTAAAACACATAATTGTAAATGGTTAGGAAGTCTTAAAAGTCTTAAGGTAAACATTTTATGGTTTTTTAGTGTTGATAATCAAAAAATATCTTTTTTTGCAAGAAAGTATTCATGTAAAAACCACTGTATAATTGTAACTTATAAAATTGTTTAAACTTTAAACTCTTTATTTTTCAATTTGCTAGGAGCATATGATGAGTTGTGAATATAATTTGTTTCCTTGTTCGAATAACTGTGGAGAAAAAATGACACGAAATGCTTTGGATAAACATATTCTCAATGACTGTCCAAAAAGAGTTATCAGTTGTGAATACTGTAAATTAAAAATTGTTTTTAAAAAGTTGCAGGTGAAAAATTTTTTTTTAAATAATTATTGTTGTTGACATTAGTATACAACTCTAATGTATGATGTGTCTTATATTAATACTTTTTTTTGTACAATATCTTCATTATAGTCAATACTACTGGTGTTCATAGAACTGTCAATATGTAAACTATATATATATATATATATATATATATATATATATATATATATATATATATATATATATATATATATATATATATATATATATATATATATATATATATATATATATATATATATATATATATATATATATATATATATATATATATATATATATATATATATATATATATATATATATATATATATATATATATATATATATATATATATATATATATATATGTATATACATACATACATACATATATGTATGTATTTAATAGAGAGACAAAAAGTTATTGTGCTTCACAAAGAAGGTTATTCGCAGCGCCCAATTTTCATCAACAGGATATTTGAAGACTGCTGTTACAGAAATCAATAAAAAGTTTAGAGAAACTGGCTCCTTTGAAGATAGAAAGAAATGTGGTAGACCTCCTAAGCTAACAAAAGATGACAATAAATGTTTAAAAACCCTTTCTTTAAGAAATACAGGGCTCGAATTAAGTGATCGCAAATTGCGATATCTGGAAATGCTTCCGGTCTTTAAAATTTTAGCTTTTTAAAAACCGTAAAACTGTTTTATCACTAAACCCAATAGATATCATTTAATAAAAAATATTTACGCCGATTATGATATAAAATCTTAATGTAAAACCATATTATCACTATTATTTTTATTATTATTAAAGATTATAATTTAAACTTTAATATTTTAATTTATGTTATAAAACATCAGATAAAACTAGAAAAATAAAGCACGATAAAGTACGATATAAATATTAAGAAATAAGCGCTAATCACAACAATCTAAAGGACTTTAACAGTGATCGAATATTTTAAATTAAAAAAATGGTTAATTCAGATATAAAATACTTTTATATGTTATTTAAATCTCATTCAATATTTTCTTATAAATTTAACGCTTGTAACACTTTAGCTGATACGAATATAAAATTAAAAGACAGAAGAGTTAAAATATAAAAACTAATTTAAACTTTTTAATAGTTACTTTAAAACAAAAAATAAGAAACTCTATTTAAAAACATATTTAAAAAAAATATACTTAATAATTTTTTTTCTTATTAAATTATTAAATTCTAATTCAAAACATTTAAATTTTTGAATAAATAATTCCTTAAATTTTCCCCCTAAATAAAAATCTATTTTAATGTTTAATATAATGCGCAAGTAACTTTAGCATACTTTTTTATTGGTTGTTTTTTTCTACAAAGTTTTATACAATCCGCAAATAGCTTAAGTATAGTTTTTAATTGGTTGATTTTTAAATTACCATGAAAGTTTTTCGGACCTTTAGTAATAATAATTTTTGTCTTGCAACTTTTTTTTTATTTATAATCCTTAAATTACATAATATTAATTGTTTAAAAAAACATTAACTAATAATATGTAAATTTTGACTGTTATTATTTTTGCAGTAGTAAATTTATTGTTTTGCTTTTTCATAAATATTTGCAATATGATAAACTGATTGTTTCATTAAAACAGTGTTTACGGTTTTTAAAAAAACTAAGAATTTAATGACCACTTATATTTCCGGATATTGCAATTTGCGATCACTTAATTCGAGTCCTAAAATAGAAAAAAAGCATCAACCAAGTTGGCAAAGGACATTAACACAACAGCTGTGGAAAATGTCGGCTCTTTTTGTATTCGACGACACCTACTCAAATTAGGATTAAAAGGGTGTGTTGTAACTCGAAAACCATTATTATGGCGTGGCAGTAAAGAAAAAAAACTTAAATATGCAAAACAACACAGAGATCAGGCCCTGGAAATGTCTAATCGGGTTCTGTACACCGATGCGTCCAAATTCAATATTTTTGGAACAAAAAGACATCAATATGTTTAAAGAAGAATTGGAGAAGCCTATCAGCCCAAGTGTTTAAACTCTACTATTAAACATGGAGGAGGCTCTTTAAAGTTTGATTCTGTTTATCTTCATCTGGAGTAGGTAATTTGATCAAAATAGAGGGAGGACTCACCAGGGAACGTTATGTGGATATCCTAAGGCATCATGCTGTATCATCCAGAATGAGACTAATAGGTCATAATTTTATTCTGCAGCAATGACCCAAAACATTGTTCTTGAGTGGCAAAAATTATTTAAATGAAATGGCAGAGGAAGGAGTACTGAAATTGAAGACATGGCTTCCCCAGAGTCCAAATTTGAATATAATTGAGCATATTTTATAACTAATTTGTATAAATCTATTCCCTGGCGAATATCAGCGATGATTAAGGCAAAAGGAGGCCTTAATAGATATTTAAAGTTTTTATGAAGTTTGACATAAAAAGGTTTTTAATTGTTCCATATTATGTGTGAAATATACATATATATATATACATATATATATATATATATATATATATATATATATATATATATATATATATATATATATATATATATATATATATATATATATATATATATGAAAAAGTTTTTATGAAGTTTGACATAAAAAGGTTTTTAATTGTTCCATATTATGTGTGAAATACATGTGTTTTAATAAGTTTATAATATAGAACTACAAACTTAAATATCCAGAGAAGAATTCTCTGGGATGAATGTAAGTGGTCTAAAACATATTCACAGTACTGTGTGTGTGTGTGTGTATATATATATATATATATATATATATATATATATATATATATATATATATATATATATACATATATATATATATATATATATATATATGCATGTATGTATATATATTTATATATATACAGTACATATATATATATATCATGCAAGTATATATATATATATATATATATATATATATATATATATATATATATATATATATATATATATATATATATATATATATATATATATATACATGCATATATATATACAGGCTTGGTCGGGAAGCGGGAGCGATTTTTAATTAGTTCGTAATTTAATTAGTAATTAAAGCAGAAAAAAGTGTAACGAGTTTTTAAGAATGGTTTAAGTTTTTAAGAATATATATATACATATATATATATATAAATATATATATATGTATATATATATATATATATATATATATATATATATATATATGCATGTATATATATATATATATATATATATGTATATATATATATACGTATATATATATACATATATATATATATATATATATATATATATATATATATATATATATATATATATATACATATATATATATATATATATATATATATATATATATATATATATATATATATATATATATATATATATATATATATATATATATATATGCATGTATGTATATATATATATGCATGTATGTATATATATTTATATATATACAGTACATATATATATATATATATATCATGCAAGTATATATATATATATATATACATGCATATATATATATACAGGCTTGGTCAGGAAGCGGGAGCGATTTTTAATTAGTTCGTAATTTAATTAGTAATTAAAGCAGAAAAAAGTGTAACGAGTTTTTAAGAATGGCAAATGAAGCGAAAATAATTAGAGTTAGTAAACCAATATCTAGAAACTTTTTTGAATTAGTTTTTTTTGAATTAGTTTGTTCGTTAATTTGGTGGGTATTTAATGTTCGCGAATATTCTTTTTATTCTTTTGCACCAAGATGTTTTGAGAACATTTAAGTTTTTTATGTTTCCATGTATGTCCATAGAACAAAAAATTTTTGTTTCGTAAATAAACTTAAATGTTCTCAAAATGACTAAAAAATCTGGCCAGTTTTTTGCAACTAAATATAATTTCCGTAGTCAGTATTCGAGAGCGATCGCTTCTATTTCCCAAACAAGCCTGTATATATATATATATATATATATATATATATATATATATATATATATATATATATATATATATATATATATATATATATATATATATATATAGAAAAAAATTATTTGTAAAAAAAAGAAATTTAAAGAAAAAACTAAATGCAGGTTGTCGAGTCGTCATTTTTTAATTTTTTTTTTCATAAAATTTTCATTATTGGTAAAGTTACTAGTATCTATTTTTAATTTTTGGTATATATATATCTACTATGGCATATTCATGTAACATATTGATACCATATTTTTGTTACATTAATTAAAGTTGAATTTTCAGAAATAGAAGTAAATAAAAAAGAATAATGAAAGAAAAGATTGCTGTGCTATCCCAAACAATTAGTCAATGTAGCAGCACTCCTCTGCGAGTCAGGCTATTTTTCAGTTGATTTATGTACTGAAGCCAACAGCTGGCTATTCCAGTACGTTGTCAGACTGCTCACCTAAACTAACAGTATAAAATATATCAATTAATAGATCTATATTAATTAATTGATAGGTCTAAGGCATAAGAGTTAAGTGGAGTGAGGTTTGGCTGAAAAAGCTTAATAAAAACCTATTTAAATTAAACTATGGACTGAGAGAAAAACTATTGATTTAAAAATTTTGCTAGTTTTTAAGGTTTTTATCAGCCTACAAAACCTAAACATAAATTATTTTCTAATATTAGATTTTCAAATCTCGTCATTAATATGTAGGTTGGGGGAGAGAAAGTAGTATGATTGAATATTCTATAACTGATAAAATCTCAGCTGCAGAAGCTATGTGGCTGTTTAAAGTAGCTGAAAATGATTTTGCTTTAAGAAATGATTTCATTGTTATTTTAAAGAATGTTTCTGGATAGTCAATTCTCAGGATAATAAAATACGTCAAAAAAGTGTTCTGTCAAATTATTAGAAAACGTTACAAAAAACTGTGAAGTTTTAAACACTAAAAGAATAAATCCTAATGAAATAAGCACAAAATTTGCATCAGTTGAAACCATCACTACAATATGCAAAATTTAAAAAAAGTTTA